TACTACGCATTCCGGTGGAGATGAAGAAATTCTGAAGTTTTCCTGTCGTGCTTTGAGGGGGAGATTTTCATGCTTCTGTGGTGGCAATATTTGAAGATTTCTTGAAGATTAGTAGAGTGCTGGAATTTCAAGGAGGTGATGCTGACTCCAATCAAAGATGTGCTGATTTGTTGGAGCTCTTGTATAAGTATATATTGGTTTTTGTAGCATTTCATATGTCTGATGCGACATTTGTACATAGTGATGTTGTGTTTGTTTGTACGTTTTTCTCCAGCTTGATGCAATAAAAATTTGGATGTTACTTCTGATACTGCTTTTATCTTTCCTTTTGAGTCAGAATTGCCCCTTCTGAGATGCTTTTCCCCCACTTCTAGGGTATTGCTACCCAACATTTGGGTCATATTGGTGCCAACCATTTCTTAGATTTATGTGTTCTGAGGTTTTTTAGCTTTTCAAACATGCAGAAATCAACAATCAAAGTTAACACGTGCACTTTATATATAAAAAGAATCACATACCTTTTTAGATTTGTCTCTAAGATTTGTATCCTCTTAGGCGTGTATCTTGTGAGGCTTGTGCCCTCTTAGACTTATGCCTTCTTGGAGCTTGAAATGTGTTGGTGCTTTCTGAGGCTCGTAGTCTTCTGTGGTATTTGATGTACCCATGCCTTTTGAGACTTGTAGTTTTTTGAGGTCTTTAATTTACCTCTCTTAAGGCTTGTAACTTTCTGAGGTATTTGATGTGCATGTGCCTTTTGATCCTTATAGTCTTCCGAAGTCTTTAATGCGCCTTTTGAGACTTGTAGCCTTCTGAGGTCTTTGCGTGGTGACCCTATCAACTACTTGCTCTCTTGAAGTTTTTCTAGTGAAGATTTTGTCCACTACTAGCTTCCCGTCGAGATTTGTCTCTTGAGCTCGTCTTCCATGGGCATAGTAGCTTTTCATCAATTCTTACCTCTTGGGTTTGACTTTCAAGAGTATCGTATCTTCCTATCAAGTCTTACTTCTTGGGCTCAACTTTCAAGGGCATGGTAGCTTTCCATCGAGTTTTTTCTCTTGGGCTCGATTTCCCAGGGCATGATAGTTTCCCATCGTGTATTGCCTCTTGGGCTCGACTTCCAGGGGTACTGTATCTTTCCATCGAGTCTTAATTCTTGAGCTTGACTTCCAAGGGCATGATAACTTGTATTTGAGTCTTGTCTCTTAGGCTCAACTTTCAAGGGTACTAGATCTTTCTATCGAGTCTTACCTCTTGGCTCGACTTCCAGGGGTACCAGATGGAGATCTTGTCCGTCTCTTGCCCTCAATAGGACTTTCTACACAAAAATCTTTCGTGAAAAAATAATAAAATTTCACTGAAATGATAGTTTAAAGCAACATGAAAATTTTACTAGAATAAAATTAAGAGTTTATAAGTCAGCCTTTTACTCAAAGAAGAAAATTTGAAGTTGTACTTCTCTTTCGATTACCCCGACGATTTTGTTTTGGTTCTCATCACCTCGTTCTTGTAAGTAGTGACCCAAGTGACCTTGGTGTATTAGAAATTCAATTTCTTCCTTAATTCAAAACATTTTTTTGTTTGGTGTAAATGACAATATTTAGACTGGTCTCCACCATCTGGATTTTTTAAAAGTCTTGGTCACTTGACGATTTTTTCATCCTTGATGGTCATTAAGATGCTGACACATGACGTGTTGAGTGGTGTGTATTATTTTTTTGATCGAGGCTCACAATTCCTCTGCAGTCCAAATTTTTTCTTTGTAAGATTTGCTCAGAATTCCCTGCGTATTCTTGCACTTGTCGCCCAATCGCTCGAATTGTTTATTGTGTGCACTGATTGCCTCATTTGCAGAGATTTGAGTTTTGACACGATGTACAAGATCGGCATAAGAGCGAACCGTGTCCCATATCAGTAATGAGTAGAAAGGTCCTAAGCGAAGCTTTCCAAGGAACTCCTCTCAGTAACTCCAGATCCACTCATGAAAATTTGATGGGCTTCAGTGGAGAACATGAGGAAGTATTCCTTGAGGGATTCCTCCTTTTTCTAGCGAACTCCAGGTAAGTGTGATAAATCTTTGATGATCCTTATATTTGTTATGAACTAATCTATGAATAGTTTGACAAGTTCATTTAGGGTGTTGATGATGCCCTTTGAAGGGAATAGAACATGTGCGAGCTTGACTTTTGAGAGTTGCAGGGAACACTTGATAGACGCTCATCAGAGACACAGTGAATGTGCATGATGATTCGATAATGGTCAGTGTGCTCGTTTGGGTCAGCTATCCATTCATAGGCATCAATATTTGAGAGTTTAAAACCTGTTGGGATAGGGTGTCGGAGAACCACCTCTGCCAAATGAGAGGATTCTTAGAAGTTGCGGTGAGCGAGGAAACGATCCCCTATTCTCCAAAGGGAACTCTTCCCAAACCAAGTGTCTCAGCTCATCACATAGGAAATCAGCAGGTGCGATAGTAAGTCGGGGCAGTGTCAGGTGAGTTGCATGAAATGAATGAGTGAAACTTGTGACGTTAAGGAGATCAGCATCCCGTCTCGGTGGGGGAATGGTTTCGTCACTGTGAGAGAATCCAGTGGGGTATTTCCTGTTGAAATGCCGAACTGGTGGTAAGTAAACTTCATTGGGTTACGGTTGTCGCTCCTTGTGTAGGAGTTGTAGAATCTCCAGTTTAGATGCCTCAATCTTGCTTATGTGGTTTTCCATAGAATGACCCGAGGCACCTTCGTCGGTGGGATGATGCCTTCCAGAGTGGGAGTATGTAGAGGCATGCCGCCCTTAGTTCTATGACTTCCTTCTGGAATGGGTGTTAGAGTGAGATGCTCTGTTGTTGCGAGTGTTTCAGATGATTGCCATGTAGTGAGCCTTACAAGCACTTCAGTGGTGGGATTGTAGTTTTCTACAGATGGCGTGAAACTAATGTTTGCTAGGAAATTCGCGGTAATAGAGTAATAAATTATCGTCTTAGCGTTGCACGAGAATTCAACATGCACTCAAACAAAAGCCAAATAACCAATTAATATACAATAAGTTTTTACGTGGAAAACCCATGAAAGGAAAAATAACGTGGTCTGGCCCAGCTGAAGGTTTCCGCTATAAAATGATGATTACAGTTGCAACCACCTGTCTCATAGGTGAGAAAGGGTAACTAGTTCTCCCAAGTTACAACGCCGACGTACGAATAAACTTGTTGCAAGGAACAGGTGGTGACCGATAAAGATCAGCAACGGTTTGCAGACGATGGTCGACGACGGTTTGCGACGTTCAACGGAAGTCGACGACAATTGTCGGTGGTCGACGATGAAAAAAGTGGTGTTGGACTTCAATTCCTTCTCAAATGTATGCTTCAAGTTTTTTTTTCAAGCCTCAAACTCTCACTTTTTCATGAGAGGGGTGAGACTGTTTATAGAGTTCCGAGTGCTATTAATGCAGAAATATGAACCACTTTGATCGAACAACTTAGAGGGTTTCCCTCGATTAGATGACATTTGATGGACATTTGAGTGCCTCAACCGATGTAAGAATTGAACGATCTTAGGCTCGTTAAACGTATCGTCAAAACGCTCAATTCGACTATGAACTCGTCGGATTCGACATTAGTTTAACCTTCCAAATGTATCTGGAAAACTTCTAAACATGCTTTAATGACTTGATTAGGGCTCGATTTGGTTCAAATTGGATCAATATTGGTACCATTGGGTCCGTCTCAGTTTGACTAAGTTTGTTAAAATTTGAGTTATGGATGATTTTTTTTATATCAATGTTTTAACATTTCTTGTTCAAAATATTGCCTTTTGATTCATATCATGCCTCGTGATTTATATCGGATGATGAAATTTGTTTATGACATGTCAGTAATGATAGTCACACTTAAAAGAGAAATTTTGTTCAGCAATCAGCATTTTTGTCTAATAAAATTAGAAATATCTGTACTTGTTAATTAGATGTGCACCATAATTTTTCTTAAGAGGCGTTTAAATTTACACAACCCAATTCAATTGTATTTATATATCGAAAACCTAAACCTTTAACATTTTTACCAATCATCTTTTTTCATCGCTTAAAAAGTATCGTTATTTTAACTTAAAAAAATAAAATAACCTTCATGCACGAATAGGGTGACATTTAAAAATTAAAATTTGAGTGTTATATAGGGCTGTAAACGAGCCGAGCTTGAGCGAGCTCAGGCTTGGCTCGTGTTCGGCTCGTTCGAAATAGCTCGTGTTCGAAATCGGCTCGTGAACAGTGTGTTCGTGCTCGGCTCGATTTAAATATCCGTGTTCGTGTTCTGCTCGAAATTGGTTCGTTAAAACTAAAATTGAGAAAAATATATGTAATGTGTGGGATTCGAACCTGGATCAAATCTATACAAAAGAAGACACTAACAAAATTGCTACATGAGGCGTTATGATTTAAATTTAGACATAAATATATATAATATATTATTATATAAATAATATATGTAATATATTGTTATATAAAAAATTATATAATTTTTTTTATTGAGCCATTTCAAGCCGAACACGAGCGAACAAACTGTTGTTTGTGTTCGGCTCGTTTACATTTCGAGCTTAAAAAAATTGTTCGTGTTTGGCTCGTTAGGCTTAACGAAAGAGCCGAACACGAGCTGCTTAACGAGCCGAACACGGGCTGTTCATGAACAACGAGCCAAATTGACAGCCCTAGTGTTATATATGTAAAATTCATAAGAATTAAGTGGTATGCATGCAAAGCTCTGTGCCTTATTTAAATGCCATTTTGTAATCATTTTTTATTTTTAATTATTATTTATTTTAAATTATTATAATTAGAAACAAAATTTGTAGGATGCCGATAACTATTTTAAAAAACATTTAAAATAAACAAACACTATTTTCTGTCTTTTTTAAATAAACAAATTTAATTTAAAACATTACAAATAATAATAAAATTGATCCCAAAGTAAAACATTATTTATGAATTATGTTAAGGTTAGAAAGCTTGAACCGAATTCTTAGATAGCTGAGCATGAAACTTCCAAGTCTCAAAACCTCAATATGGCATATTAACATCTAAACTTATACTTGATGCACCTTCAAGCACATAAGCACGCCTCAACAATTAAGTGCAACCTCTGAACAACTTAGCATTAGCACCCTCAACAGGAGAATTTTATGTCCGAATACTGTTTGTCCGGAAGGCCAACTGCTGGATGTGATGTCATACACATCAAGGCTAAACGACGTGACGCCCGACATCACATCGTCATACACATCAAGGCTAAACGACGTGACGCCCGACGGTTGGCCGTCTTGACGTAATATTTTTTTCCCTCAGGGTTGCAAATTGATTTTGATTGGACACAAATCTTATGTTCTTAATATCTCACACCTAAATTTTCATATCCATACGTTTTAAATTCATGCATGAAAAATATATATTTAACTTTTAAAAATTTTACAAATTTTAATGTGATGTTAAAGATTTGATTGCTATCTATAAAAATGAAAATTTAGGTCAGATATGTAAATATATAAGAATAGTGTGCTCTGCACGTAAATGCCCCAAAAATTAATGATTTTTTCCACTATTTGTTTTATCACATATTCACTATGAATTTGTACTCCATTAAGAGTTCCAAAAACTGTGATATCTTACAGGAATTTTATGCATTGCTTTCCTCAAAAACGTGTAAGCTGTCATCATGAACTATTAAAAGAACATCATCAAATCAGTTAATTGGTAGACCAAATAGAGCAGTGTTTAGCAAAATCAACCCAATAGAAAAGATTAAGAACATAATCAAAATTGCAAAATACAACAAATATAGAAATGACATGCAGGTAAGATTTTACTCCAAATATATAATTTCCATAAATTTCTGCAACCTCTGCTGCTGTAGTTGTTCATGCAACAGCAGATTTTGAATTGCTGCCCATTCCAAACAAATTCTCAAATAACTTTGGGGCCATCGGAGGGAGGTTCATTGGCACTGGAGCCATGAAATTAGCTATCTTTTCATGAACGTTGTACCTAATAATTAGAAGCTCAAATTTAATAAATTCTCGAAATAAATACCATTTATATCTGAATGAAAATAGAAGATTACCTTATTTTCCGGCTCTTGGAAGCCCGACGATCGACAATTTTTCGCTTCTTCGGCTGTAGTTTTTTCAAGGCATAAAAAGCAGACTCTGCAAAATAACAAAGAAGCAGTATTAGCCTGAGCCGAATGGTCAAATTTCAAGTGCTTAAACTGCTTTCAAGGCTGTAATGATAATTTGTATAATGATTCATAATGGTCTTCTACATAACTAAAACCCAGCAGTAGATGCAAAAAAAAAATAATATGAACTTACCAGATGATGCTGGGTCACAAGATTCAAAGAATTCTTTTAGCAGTTGCTGATAAAATTCAGAGTCATCAATAAGTTCTGGATCTCCATCAACATTCCCATCCTGATTCTAACAAGAGAGAGAGAGAGAGGAGTAAAGATAATTCAAATTTATAAATTTAGGTCATGAATGCAGGTGTAACAGACCAAATGCATATATATATATATATATATAATATATATATATATATATATGCATGTAAATAGAGTCATGTATCAAAATAGTCATATATCAGTATTTACATGGGGTCATTTTAGTCCCAAAGTGCATAATTGTGCCAAACTAGTCCCCAAAATTTTTAATAATGGACCGAAGTAGTCCTCCATAAGGACTTGTTTCAGCTCATATTAAAAAAGTCTTGTACTAATTTGACACTTCTTAAACTTTGAGACTAAAACAAACCCGAGTAGACTATCTTAACACTTTTCTATATATATATCTTCTTCAAACATTTGCAATTGATACAATAATCTAGAGTTTTCAATTAAGGTTCCTGGAACAAATAGCAACCAAATAGATGGGAATCAAGTTTTAACAAGCACATTTAAGTACACGGCCTACAATGTCATACTAATAATATATTACAATACTGCCATGTTAAACCATTTATTACCGGTAACTTGAAGTGCTAATTCGGTGGTTCTTTAATAATAAATAACTAATAATAAAAGTAAGTGAGACTGCCTAGTGCTTATCTTAAATTTTCATAACCTATGCATAAAATAAACGATGATTAGTGAAAAACCTCTTCTGTTGTTTTTTCATTCACCGCAGGGACCTGCAGAATAAACATATAGCAATGAGAAGACTTGTGCTTCATATGAAGAAGTTTCCTAATTCGAGACTTTAGTCTTGATGAAGTTAAAATCTTACATTCCCAAAAACACCGACAGATGAACTCCGTAATTGCATCCGTTTGATCATTTGGTTAGGATCTCTCATATAGCCATCTATTTGGTCACTAACATTCTATACAGAATAACAACCAATAGAAGTTAGGCCAAGCAAAATAAAGGAAATGCTAAAGTATCGAGTAAATTGCCAGAATAGTCTGACTTTTTACATTTTAGTCTCAAATTCTATAAAATTGTCAAATTAGTCCTCCAAAATTTTTAATATGGGTTGGGAGGACAATTTCAGCCTCTCTTAAAAGATTTTAAAGACTAAAATGACACTTTTATATACTCCGGGACTAAAATAGACCACTACAAAAAGTCAGGGGTCCATTTTAACACTCTTCTCCTTAGATATCTTTGTATTCAGACTCTTCAAGCCTACTTTATTAAATGCATTCAATCTTCCTCTGAAAGCAGCTGCCCCAGTTGTGACCTGCATCTTTCTATGCCATTTGTCTATAGAGTTATTTCTGAAATCCTTTATTCTGCATTTTCAAAATATATATAGATCAGCACTTCAACATGAAACATATTAAAAGTAGCAACATCTACTGAAACGAAGTCACAACTTCTTCTCATCTCAAACTCAAGTCTAAGAGTTAAATTTAAAGATTCTTAAAGTAACTTCAAGAGAATTTGTAGCTAACTGCATAATGCAATGTTGATACATGTAATTTCCTAAATTATTTAAAAGAATTCTTACCCAGAAATTTCAAAAATTAACTATTCTTTCCAGCAAGAGAAGGGGATGGGAAAATGCTCTCAAATCTTTAGCTTAACTATCCAACCCACCTAACCCACAACCATCAAATTAAGCCTCCATTTTAAAGCTTGTAGCAGGCATTCAATCAAATATAGGCGCCTTTCATTACGATTTAAGTAAAGCAAGCCCAGAATGGGACCCACAAAAACATACAAAAAAATGTCAAAATGTGCAGCTTGCTAACCCTTAATTTAGTTAACATTTACTTCTTTTGATGCAAAAGCAATAAACAAATAGATCTCACTCAAAATAATAGCTTAAAATCATCAAAATTTAGTTTTTTCCAAGAAATCCAAAAAATAAATTATGCTAGAATCAAAACTTACACCGCAAAAGGAAAGCCAGACTGTAACAAAGTGAACAAAATCTCAATCACGCAAATGCACAAATGAGTTGTAAAAGGAGACTTGAACAAAACCATATTTGAAGAAGCAACTTAACAAAGTTTGAAAGAGAATCTTACTTTTATTGAAACATGAACTATGCTGTAGACCTCCATTTTACAATAAAACTCAACCCACACTTGGTAGTTTCTAAATATTTGTATAATATATAGATGGATAAGTAGCAATTTTTCAATCTTCAAATACCAAATTATGATCAATATTAACACTGCAGGCTACAGGCTCTTAAGAGATCCATAAATAGGAGATCCCACACATCAATTCCAAATATAGACTCTAAAAAAAATTAGGAATTTCGGATTTTTTATAAAATTGTACACTCCAAAATTAGGGCCAATTAGCTAAATGGGTATTAATACCTTATTTAACAAAAATAGCTTAATTCCTATGGATAAGTTTATTGGGAACCTAGTTAAGTTAATAAATGATCAAATTATTTAAGATAAATAAAACTTGCCAAATGATCAACCTAGTGGATTTAAATGATTGTGTGTGTGTGTGTGTTTATGATTTGGTTAATCCCCTGAATTTTAAACAATTTTAGTTGATTAAAAATGAATTGAATTTTTTTTTTTTAAGCTTGACGATTCAAATCAAAGTAGTATACAACACAATAATTCAATTTCTAGTGCTATTCCTTCCTACTAGTAGCCTTAATTACAACTTACAACTATATCAGGGCTCGCACCATTTTACCCCATCCAATGCCACCTCAACTTCTATAACCAAAACATATTACCGACAATCAGTCAATCCACAATGCCCACATAAAGTCCAAAAAACATGTCATTCCCTCACTTTCTATCTCTCAAGTTTCCTCTAAAAATAGAACAAATTGATAAAATGTTGAAAAGCCTTTGATCTTTAGCCTTGGTTGAATTGAAGACCTTACATCATTGATTTTTTTTAATATGACTAAGCTTGAATACCATCCATTGGGTTTTAATGTTTGATATGGCATGATATTTTTCCTATGTCCATCAAAAAACTTGGATTTCTTTTCACTGGCAACTATGTATGATCAAAAACACGGTAGCAACTCTTGAATCATTATTAGATGGTTGCTGTCATAGTTGCTTCAAAAATCTAAGTTTGTATGTGATTTTTATCTCTCAGGCCACTTAAGAAAAATGAGTTGAATGTCAGCACTATTTTCTTAAAAGATGATGAGAAATATGTAAAAAATGTAATTCTAGAGGAGGATAAAAAATTGATGTTGAAAAGAATACAAGCCAATAATCAAAGAGTAGGCAACTATGTTTGGCCTGACTTGGTCCAACTTGGCTTAAAACCCACCCTTTCATCATTCATTTTTGGTTTGACATGTGGCTTCTCCCCGCTCTCTCTATTGACATGAAAAAAAGCTAGAGAAAAAAACCAAGGTGTGAGAGCATAAAACCAATCAAAAGATCCATCAACTCATGTTCAACATTTTAAACTAGTATGGAATAGCTCAAAAAATCAATCAACTTTTAGTTGCCAAACTTGACCTCTAGTTCGCTATAAATTGGCTTGGTGTAATGAATTATAATGCACATTGATGTATTGAGAAGAGTGCATCATCATCAAAATCATTTGTTTTATACCAAATACTTGGATTCAGGTTTATAAATCATTATTTGCCATCCATTCGTATTGAATGTTGCCAGAGGTGTTAAACCTGCTATTTCTTAAATCAATTTGAGCCTCATAAATGGTAAGTTCCAACGAGGTATGTACATTCAAGCAATGTGCAAACACATTGAATGATTATATAAATAAAGTTGAAGAAGGCAATATTTGAAGCTGCTCTGCCTGTAAGACAAGGTCCTACAAACAACCCCATTGGTCTTGCTCCAACATCCAAACCTATTTCCATAGAGCCTTGGCTTTCCTCGCCCTTGAGATTCTCATCTTTGGGCCTTTCTCGAGATGTAAGCTCCAACCCAAATTGAACTAACATAAACGCTAAAAGCACAGCAAGTTAAATAACTTTTGCCTTGTCTGGTCTCTAGGGCGAATGTTTAAGTCGCACCACTTTTGGAATTCCCAAAATTAAGATTGTAAATCATAATATAACAGATGGATTAGGTTTTACCCTTTTAAATACCGCCTATTGCAACTTCAATAGATGCAAGGTCCAATTCAATCAACTCAAATTTGATACAAAGCTAAAAAATCCATTAAACCAAAACCATAACTTCTGAGCTTTCCTTGTCCTCATGATTGTAAGTCCAATTTATAGACAATGCCATGGATGGAAGGAATTACCCCAGGTCAAGCTCATGATAAAGAAAAGAACTTATAGCACATGGGCCTTCTCAACGAGATAGACCCAGCTTTTGACAAAGTTCATAACAACTTGAGGCTAGCAAATAAAAACTTGGGCCAACTTTCATGTTAATTATCTCATCAAACAAATACTAATTCAAGAAAAACATGCTTTCAAGCTTGCAAAAAAAACCACACATGTGCCTTAGGCACGCTTCTCTGAAACGAATTAAAACCAATTTATATTTACTCATCATATAATCGTTATATCATGCCTCTGAGTCTTTATTGTCATGTCATAGAACTTTTAAACCACAACAATCATTTTAATAGTGCATAAGTTTGACATCGATCTTATCTTCAACACATAGTTTCACCCCGGACTTACAATTGAGAGTAGGAAGCCCATGCTACTAATCAAGTTCCTTAAACATTATGCTTAATGCCCTTTAGGTAGGGCGAATTTGATCCAATGTTAGATCTTGGATGACAGTACCACAAAATCTTAATCAAATCCATCCACATTCCCCTTAACAATCCCTAACTTTAAGAAATTCAATTTTAATGCTAAATTATAAGCCTAAGATTGACACTAGTAACTAATTGAGATAGGTTTCTGATGATTGGAACAGGTCTTAATACATCAATAAGAAATTTCATACTCAAAATTAAAAACCTCACCATGGAAATTTAGTTAAAAAAACGATCTGCTTTAAGAAAAACTATTCTAGAGTTCTCGCACACAAGAAAGCTCAAGACATAATTGCTTTTCCCAACAATCAAGTATACATAATTGAAAATTATGTCTAGTGCCTCTACAATAAAAAAAGCACAAATAGAAGAAAAAATAAGCATAGCAACAACAACAAGCATTTCCCACTGTGGAAAATTAACTGCAATTCTTGACTTAGAAAAGGAACAAGCAGCCAAACTTCAACACAAAATCAAACAGCAACATATTTAATACCAAAACCAACATATAGTTTATAGAAGACAATCCATTCTCAATAGCAATCACCATAATGGGCATATTCACAAAAAAAAAAGAGTTAAATTATTCCTAGATCCCCATTCACGTACACACAAGGGGCAAAAAAAAATTCTAGAGGTCTAATACCAACAATAATGTTAAAATTCCCTTTGTCGTGAGTTATCTTAGATCTGCAACATGTATTTAAAATCCAACAAAAAAGTTATAAAATATCCATTCAACATATTAGTTTAATGGAAAGGCCTACGTTAAGTGGCTGTAATTGGTTCACGCAATTTGAAGGGAAGAGGAAAATTGGGTCATTTACATAGCAAGGACATAAGCAAAGAAATCCCACTTTTAAAGTTTTGGGATGAATAAGAACTCTTCAGTGATGCCCTGATTATGGAACACTATGACTTAGAAGATAAATGATGCATGAATGTTTCTCATTCAACAAAAGAAATATGGGATATAATAAATCATACTTCTAAAATTCATTTTGCTACACATTTACAAATTCAAGATCCAGATCCCATCTATAGCGAGGGACTATAGAAACTAAATAAAGTTTAATGTAATCAATCGAACTATTCATACGTTATTGGGCTACTCATAATAAAATTTAGAACTATAAACCTTTTATAGAAACTAATCACCCTCACCCCTCCCTTGATCAAGGGACTAGCCACCCATAATATATGATTACATCAACGAAATCATTTGTAGTATATAGTGATTCCCTGGACCAACGCCAAGAAGGAAAAGTAATTAAAGGAGGAGAAACTTCGCCTAACCTATAAAAATGCCTAAAAACCTACCCTCATCATCGATCCAAACCCACATGAGCAAGCCAACCATTTTTGAGGAGAAATTGCCCAATTAAAAAAGTTTGAAAATCATTAAGCACTCTTAGCTTAAGAAAAAAAAGAAAAACTTGATGTTGTTTCGTAATAATCTTGTTATAATATATATATATATATATATATATATATATATAGAGAGAGAGAGAGAGAGAGAGAGAGAGAGAGAGAGAGAGAATGTTGCTTCATTATAGGCTTGGTATAAAATAGAATGGCAAATACATTTAATGGACTAATTTTTTTATGCCTAAACGATGCATATAAGCCATTCCAAAAATAGATTATGATCATTATTAAGTTTTCTTTACTGGTTTCTTCAATTACCCACACTGGCATCAGAATTAAAATTCAGAACGGTTCTGCTTGGAATAAAAACTAGGGAAATTTACATACATAGCACACAATTCTTATGCGCATATCTCACACCTAAATATTCATACAATGAACTTTGGTACTTTAAACCTATGCATGAAGATCTGTATTTCACTTTTAAAAAATGTTAATAGTGCTATTTTTTATGTCATATTAAAGATTTGAGAACTATGTCTGTAAATATGAAAGTATAAGTGTGAGATATGTAAATACATAAAAATTGTGTGCTATTTATTTAAATGTCCCTAAAAGCAGATTTAGGAAAAAACATAAAATCTCAGCTAAAAGGTGGCAACTGAGCAATATCAACATACCTGTCATGTGATTTGTATATGCTTGACCATTCTTCATCTTTTTCTTCAGTTACATCTGAAGATAATCCGTCGTCCTTGCAGGAACCTTTACCATTTCCTTAAAGAGGAGAATGCATATCAAGGTAACTAAAATATCAAGCAAAACAACTTAAAATATCTAAGGAAACAAATCAAATACATTTTCTTTCTCCTCATTTCTCAGGAAAAAATCATCACGGTAAGAATTAATATAGATAAGATTTTGAGCTAAAAAGGTAGCAGACCTAGAACAGAAACCATGACTAGCATGCCAGGGTAACAGTATAAAATAAGGAAATGAAACCTGTGAAAATTAAATGCGGATTTAACAAAAATATGCCAAGAGAACCTAATCTGCAGATAGAAAAAGACTAGATTATGAAGCTATACTAGCAGCAGTAAAGAGTTAATTATACAAATGTCATATGCTTTAAAGATAATAGCAGACATTGAAGTTCCATGATGAAGGACTTGAAAATGATACGAATGATAAAGTGTGATGCTACTAGATTACAGAAGAGGTAGCGGTTAGAACTATTGAGAATAATGTTATCAAAATCAATTTAAGCTGGTCCCAAAATCAATCCCTTCGCCTCTTACCCCAACTTAATAACCCTTATCATAACCTTACAAAACTGGGAAAAAGAAGTTTGAGAGGGTGTTGCAATTTCCGACCAAAATAACTGAATGCCGTTCCATATAAGATTTCATACAGTGTGCATGACTTGGCATTTTTGTTTCCAAAAGATATTAACCTAATAAAGAAAAGAGCATATCAATGATATTAAAGAAATTAAATATAAATATATGTGTGTGTGTGTAAGGTTAAAAAAAATAAAAACAAATACTTCATTTGCGTTGTCCAACTAGAAACCCACTGAAGAGGAAAGATACAACAACAACAAGTCTTTACCCCAACAAGTATTTTTCTCCATTGTGTCCTATTGAGTGTCATACTTTCATTTAATTTTAATAAATAATTAAGATCATTTTTCCATTTTTCATACAATATGCCCAAGTCTAAAAAGAAGAAAGATAGAATAGATTTTTTTCCCAATTTATGCACCTTATGGAATAAAAAACAAAATCTTTTACCCTCCAAAGTGTTGACACCTTGAATGCTCTAATCAGAATAAAAAATCTATCATAATAAATAATCATAGTTTTGATCTGTAGTGGGAAGATATTTATATGTGTGAATAAAAAACATATCATAATATCAATAGTTGATGATAAAATTAGAACTAAGGTGCTAGAAGGGACAGAAATATCAGTCAATAGTCCCTGGAGAGAATCTAAATTTGGTGACAAATATTTGGAACATACTTGAACAACTGAGAAAGGATCTTCCACCAAAGGCATTGGAGGATTAATACGTGTTTAGGGTTAAAGAACTCAAATAATTTATGCCAAAAAAAAATGACAAGATGAATTGATACCAAAATTAACCCAAACAATAACTAAAAAATATTATTACTGAAAAACCAATAGATGATAATAACGAACACACATGAAAGGGGAAATAAAAACAGATTCAAACTAGGTTGGGTCTCGAGTGGTGGTGAAGATCGGCAAGGAGTTGGAAGTAGGCGGGGTGGTTGACTAGATGGTCGGCCAGCAAAATACAACAGTATAGCGATCTCTCGGGTTCCAGACAACAAGCATGAAGAGGATAACAATGTGGAACAGCTAACCTGGAAAATGATAGCAAGTGGGAAAGGGGTAGAGCACAGGTTCTCGAGCGGCCGTGTGTGGGAAGGGAAGGAGAGATGGTTGGGGAGGCTGAATGGCTGAAACAACAGGAAAACATTCGGGAATGGTCGTTCTCGTCTTCGACGGCGAGGAGAAATGGAGGCAACGATGGAAAATGCGTGGACTGCAGGACGACAAAAGGATGGTCGTTCGGGGTGGTGGTAGCGAAGGTAGACGGATGGAATTGAAAAATTGCAGTGAAAAAAAAAATAGCAACAACTGCTTTCCCTAAAGACTGCAGCAGGGATGAAGCAGCCATAGTGATGTGGGGAGGATGTAGAAGGGGAAATAGAAGATAATCACCAACTTGAGAAAGAGATATAGCCTGAGCACTACTTAAACTCTTGGATATGGCCCTCGAAGAGAGAAATAGGCATGGAGCTATGTTGAATAGAAACACAATAAATACCTCCTTCCAAATCCTAATATATCACATATATAGAAAAGAACTAAAAATGAATGAAAGATAATAAGTAAAAAAACATAAAAAAGAAAAATATGATTGTTTCGGTTCGTCTCTTGCGATAAGAATCCCACGGTACTAAAGCAGCGCCCGTCTCCCGCGATAATATATCCCGCGGTACTGTAGCAGCTACAGTACTATGGAAATATTTGTACGAGAAGCTCTCGTATCAATCTTCCGGGGTTGGGGAATGTTCAACCACATCTGTCGAAGCTACTATCTCCTCATCACATGTGTTAGGTCGGCTACATTGAAGATGGTGGAAACGTTGTAATCTCCTGATAAGTCAATCTTGTTAGCATTGATATTCCAAAACACATCTTAATAGAATAATTATCCATCTTGTTTTGACACAAGCATAACTGGAAATATACATGGAAGGGTGTTCTCACGAACTAAACCTCAAGCCATTAAATCTCTAATTGGCTTCTTCCACTCCTTGTACTCGTCCAAGTGAGTATCTGATAAATAAGGAGGAATTAATTATCGAATGAAATCTATGGCAGACTGGACCGCACTGAAGTATATAAATAGTCTGAAGATATTTCTTCTTTTTCTCGGAAAGGACATGGATCACAACATAGGATGTTCTTTTCCCCAAAAATCTTAAGGCAATTTCCTCCGTTATAGTTCATCTATTCTGTCTGATCATTTGTCGATGGGTATATTGTTGAACTGATTTTACTGCCCAAAAAAACTCTATATGGTCTTTCTGAAATAACTCAAAAGTCATTCACCTCTGATATGTTGGACCTCTTTCAATAGGGGCAAATCAGAAAGTAGTCTGTATATTTGAAAAGTCTAAATTTCTCTTATGTGGGGTTGTCATTCATCTGCTGTTGATTCCCCAAACGCACGAGTCTTTTCAACTTTCAATGTCAGCCTTGTTGATGCTTCTCTCAACTCTTGCAAAACGGTAATTTGAGGCACCTCAGCCTCATATACTACATGAACGCCCATTACCTCGAACTCACCCTCTTCTCAAACTATTGCTACTTCACTTGGAGTCATTGACTTCTTTTCTCATAGATTGGAAGTTGGTAATCTGTCTACTCATTCTTCCCGTAGTTCTTCCCAGCCTGCTAGGGGTGTAAACAAGCAAAGCTTGAGCGAGCTCAGGCTCGATTCGTGTTCAGCTGTTAAAAAAATATCATTGTTCGTGTTCGGCGCTTTTATGTATCGAAAAAAAATTGTTTGTGTTAGGCTCATTTGCCTAGCAAGTCGAACAAGAGTTGTTTGCGAACAACAAACCGTTTTGAAAGCCTTAATCATGCAGCTGTAAGATATTTAAGGGTAGGACCGAAATTTATATATACTATTTATATTAAAATATTCATTTAAATATAATTTAATATATAATTATATTTTTTTAATTAATAATTTTAATTGATTATAAATATTATAGCTTTGTAGTCAATTAAATTATTTAAAAAATAATACTCATCAAAACAGGCCGAACATGAATGAACAAAAATTTGTTTGTATTTGACTCATTTATATATCCAACGTAAAAAATTTTTTTTTACGACTCCTTTCCTTTGCAAATAAATCAAACTTGAGCTACTTAAAGAGTCGAACACGAGTTGTTCATGAACAACAAGTTGTTTTGACAACCGAACGAGCCAGGATTTATGCCTGTTGTTCTTCCCAGCCGGTTTCCAGCAGCTAATTCCCCCCACCACAAACGAGCATACTGCTGACTGATCTTTCTGGCAAGTGTTTCCAGCAAGCCCAATGATGTGTGAAAAGATTGTATGATTTTCTTTATATTTTGCACATATTTTTGAATGAAATTGCACTTTAAAGAAATGTATTTGTATGTTTTTCTTGAAGGTATAACAGGTATTATGAGTGTAATAAAGTGGAATAAACATTGAGCAAAAATGAGAAAATTTAAAGAAAAAACAGTTTGTGAAGGTTGAGGCCATGGTGCCAAGTACTGGGCGCCTAGGCGCCAGCTAGACATGTAACCCGAGAGATTGGCACTCAGACGTCAACCATTGGGGCACCATGGCCCCAACTATGAAAACAAGGCCATGGCCCCAGCTCTGAAGACAAAGCTATGGCGCCAGATCAGTGTGGTGCCTAGACGCCAACCATTGGGCGCCATAGCCCCAATCTTGAAGGCCAAGGCCATGGCGCCATAATAGAGCGGCGCCTAGGCGTTAGTACACATTTTTTAATTTCTTTATATTTTGCACATATTTTTGAATGAAATTACATTTTAAAGAAATGTATTTGTATGTTTTTCTTGAAGGTATAACAGGTATTAGGAGTGGAATAAAGTGGAAGAAACATGGAGCCAAAATGAGAAAATTTAAAGAAAAAACAGTTTGTGAAGGCTGGGGCCATGGCGCTAAGTACTGGGCGCCTAGGAGCCTAGGCGCCATCCAGACATGTAACCCGAGAGATTGGCGCTTAGACGTCAACCATTGGGCACCATGACCCCAGCTCTGAAGACAAGGCCATGGCCTCAGCTCTGAAGACAAGGCTATGGCGCCAGATCAGTGTGTTGCCTAGGCGCCCAACCAGCACATTGCAACCCGAGAGATTGGCGCCACTGGGCGCCATGGCCCCAATCTTGAAGGTCAAGGCCATGGCGCCAGAATAGAGCGGCGCCTAAACGCTAGTACCAAATTTTGCAGGTCTTTGGGCAGTTCGAGCCATCTGTTCGTGGCAATTCTTGGGCGAATCGAGGCAATTTTAAGGAGTTATCAAGAGGACCATACATGAGGGGATTGCAGAGGAGGCTGAAGGAAAAACTTTAGAGCATCATTAGGGTTAAAGAGGGAGTCTTAGAAGAGATTTTCCTCCATTATTCTGAGAGTTCATAGGCTTGTTCTAGGCTTGTGAAAGCAAGTAGATGGGAGTGAATTGTTGTGTTTGTGAGTGCTTGGGCAAAGAGTTTACAAGAGAAAAGCAAGGGCTTGAGTGGAGCATTCTCAAGGGAAATTGAAGGAGAGAGATAAACGTATTTGAGTTTTGGGTTTGTGATTTTCTGAAACACTTTTATGTTAAATCTCTTAATACCAATGCATTCTTGTTGTGTTTTATCCATGTTTTCTAAGTAAATTTTCTTGCTTTTCCTTGTGGCAATGTGGTAGATGTGTATGAATATGGGTTTGAATGCTGAAATAGTTTTTATTCGATAACTGTGATGATTTCCTTTTGCACTTAGTTTACTTTTTAATTTAGTCAATTGATCTGTTAAAATGTGTTATGAACCTGTAATTACTAGGAAGAGCAACGACATGAACAACTAGAAAAATCATGTTGAACTATTGGGTATGAATCAATACACTGTAGAGAGATGCAAATAAATAAGGAGATAATTTCATTAGGTTCCCTTTAAACACTCCTATGTTTCGGCAGTTATCCAAAGGCTCAACTATTATCTGGATCTTTCTAAATAAGGAGTTTTTTGAAATTTCATTATTTTAACAAAGACCTTGATGATGTTCGGAGTTGTATCCGGTCGAGATCCCCTTCCTTCCACTTGTGCTTCTTTCACAGAAATTTGACGTGAAAAAAGCTGGAGAATTGTCATGTTCGACAATTCCAATTCAGCTGAATTATCTGCTTTGGCCACTAATAGTATTCAACATTCATCAAAACCTCCTCGAGCCACTGAGTCCACTTGTGATTACTGTCACAAACTCAACCGTACTCGAGAAAAGTGTTTGAAACTCTATGAAAAACCAGCATACAGACCTTCAACCAAATCATCCTTTGTTAAGGGTCCCACTACTACGGCATTTGAATCTACTACAACACAACCAATAGTCAATCAGAACACTTTGAAATGACCAGACTCTCTTAAAAGTCATATGGAACAATTAATCAAGCTGCTCAAATCGAATCAATTGATTTCCGGCCTATCAACCTCTGACTTCCGTCAAGATATCATCTCTATGGTATTTCTTTTTTTAGTACATGAATCATTGATTCAGGTGTCACAGACTACATGATTGGATGCTCTCAAGCTTTCTCAACATATTATCCATGCTCTAGGGAATATACAGTTAAAATTGACGATGGTTCTTGTAACTCTATTATTGGTAAATAGTCGATTATGTTAGCAACTGATCTAACTCGGGAACTGTGTTATGTTTCCCTCTGTTGAAGTGTAACCTGTTATCAGTTAGTAAATTAACACATGACATGGATTGTGTTGCTAATCTGTGAAGCTCCCTGATTACGTATCATGTTCTGTGAATTATGTCTGTCGGTCTCTGCTCCTCTCTAGTTGTATTGTGATAATAAACCCTCTATTAGCATCACACATGATTCAGTCCAGCGTGATAGCGCTAAGCATGTAGAGATTGACCAACACTTCTTTAAGGGAAAACTTGATTCAAGAAAGATTGTATTCCATTTGTTCCATCCAATGATCAATTAACATATATCCTCACCAAAAATCTTCCTCAGTTGTTATTTGATAACTTCAAATCCAAGTTGAGTATGATGCACATCTATGCTTCAACTTGAGGGGGAGTATTATAATTATTAGCCCAATTAATACTGGAGTTATTATTAGGCTTTATTTGCATTCTTTATTTGCTCTATTTCCATATTTATGTATTTTTGAATTTAAGCCTTTTCTTTTATGTTTCTTGTAATGTGTATTTATACCCCGCTTCTCTATCAAAGAAAGATTTAATACTCTACTCTCACAAGTTCACAAATTGTGATATTTTGAAGTCAATTCTTAAATGGGCATAGGAATGAATGGTGGTAATACTAATGCATTGATTATCTAGCTACATATTTCCATACATGAGATATAGTATGCTTTATGTACATGCTTGCAAAAAATATGACATAATACACTTTAGTATGAATTGCCATACATGATACATTATACATCTCATGTAAAAATGACATATTTCAATAGGATGAACTACAAGAATTTATAGCATTTTATTTTCACTAATTAAATTTTGCATGAGGCCCATGTGACATTGGATTTTATGCTCATCCTATGGGTTATTGACTTTAGAGAAGGGTAAGAGCACGAGAAATATATGCTGGATCTATGAGGAATAAATTTCAGATGATATTGTCTTGATTGAAATGATTTATTTTATAATCATAATTCATAGTTTAACATTTGTTCATATTGAGCTTTTTCTTGTCATATTGCACCTGCATGTGATTGATTTCAGGAAATAATAAAGAGCCTGGAGGATCTAATGACAAATACCTTTTAGGTGATTATATTTTGATTTAAATATTCCCTTTTATAATCATAATTTACAGTATAGCTTTTGCTCATACTGAGCTTTATGCTCATCATATTGTAAACGCATGTGGTACTGATTTTAACATGGGGCAAAAAGCAGGTAAAATGGATGGTGGATCTACAGAGGAATACCTTTAAGGTGAGATTGTTTTGATGTAACTGTTCTCTTTTACAATCAAAACTCATAGTATAATTTTTGGAGGATGCACTTCAAAATGATCACAAAATTAAAAATATGATCCTTTGGATTTAACATTGCAATTACTATCAATTGAACCTTTGGTTTCTTTTATCCGCTACAAACCATTCAATAATAGTTTAGGCGGCTCTGTGTGTGAATGAATTTATGAAATTATCTAATTGATCCTGATTTTTAAGAGGATCTACATTGTAGAAAAGAATTTAAATAATGTATAATAAATGATTTAATGTTGTTCTCCTCGAGTACTGCATCCCAACTTACTTTAATCAAGGGATTGTTTTGAATTGGGTTATGACACACCTTGAAACAATATTAGAGAAATCCAGCATTTGGATTATTTCCTAAAGCATGCTTGAGCAGCAAGAGGAGATAGGTGCAATGGTAGCTAACAAGCCCAAGTACTGCCAAATCAATGCCATTAATGATCTAGGGATCACATATAAGTAATAAATAAGATCGCCTCAAATCATGATTTAGACATCAAATCAAGGAAAGTCAGATAGTACTGGCATTTTATGCATTCAATTTTTATAAGAAGATTGTCGATGGCAGTGGTTCTTGAATCACACCGTTCAGATAAAAAAAGTTGTCATCATGCCATCAAAGGTGCAATCAAATTGCTTATCAAACAACATAAAACAAAGATTAAAGCTCCAAAAGCTGAAATGTTGGATCCAATTTTATGCTGCTAAAGATAAGGATGAAATTAAATCTTTTCACTTATTTCAATAACTTTGTATCAGAATTTCAATTCAAATTAGGAAAATTATCGCTGGAATTTTCTTTTAAATTGGGGCTTATCTATTTTGTTAAGATAGAAAAATTTTCCTTTGTGGATTTTAAGCAATGATTAAATCTTGACACTGCTACTTTTGCCATTTATAGGTGTGTTTTTCTGTAGAAAGATCAATCTAAAATTAGTAAAAAGAAAACAATCTTAATTAAATATTCTTTTTCTTCCTATTTTGTATTGAAATTCATAGCCAACTTTCTGCTCTTATTGCAAGGAAAAGTACACCCCCTGCTATCACTCATCTTTGTAGCTTGTTTTTGTCATCTTGCTGACTGTTTTTGTTGTTAATTTGTTGCAAGGTTGTTTGCAAATTCCAAGAAAAAATCCAAATAACTTACACAAAAGAATTGACAGGTTCTATAGTGGGAAAGTAAAGTCCACAATAAGTTGGGAACCAAAGCCGGAGAGGAAATCTATCAATAACATGGAAAATTTGATTAAGAAGATTGGCCCACATATCAAAGTAAGAGAGCAAAATCTCTTTAGTGCACGATACAAACTAAGAAGAGAGGCAAATGCGACAGAGTCGAGTACTAATCTGAAGAAAAATATCTATCAAAAGGTAATTTACGGGATATTCAAGCAGTTGATATATTAAGATTTCTGTCGAACCGGATATGTAGAAGATCAATGGAAGAAGTTAGAAAAGTTTGAGGTAATGTCTAAAACAATTTGTGCGAGCAAAACAGTATGGAATTCTGACATTAGTCGAGTAGTTTGAAAGTAAACCTTGCAAATGTACAAGCTTTGATGAAGTTACACCTTGGCATTTTATTCGCAAATTACAAATCACTGATCCATTCAAGGCAATATGATGGCATGGCCATAAAGTGCAAGAATCAAATAGAAAAATGAAAGCACTAAAACCATTGAATCATTAAAGTAATGATCATCTTCTCAAAAAACAAAAAGGGCACAACAAGAACATTTATTCACCAAAACATGCTTATACGTCTAAAGCAAAACAAAATAAGAAAAATAAATAATTATTATTAGATATCAAATCTGAGAAAATTAATAAAAGAGGCGCCATTAAATCTTCCTTAAAAAGTGGAAGAAAGTTGAAGAAGGAAAAATGATTGTTGCTGTAAAAGAAAACATTATGCTTTTTTCTGCAGACAATGCAAACTCATCCAAACTTTTTATGGTTATGTCGAAAAATAAAGTGGTGGGATAATCCTCCAATACAGACTTCAGGAAGAATTATTCACTATGAAGATCAAGGTTGAGCAAGAAATTATCGATGAAATCAACAACACCAATGGCCATAATAATCTCATTTTTGCCACTTATTGGGGTTGAATACCGTACCTAGCCCATTAGGTTGGATTCCAAATGGGTCTTCAGATGAAAATTGACCACAAATGCTTGTCAAAGTTTGCAATCACCAAAGAAGACATTAAGAAGACTATGATATTAATGTGTTATTTATGATATAATAAATTTAATAAAGGTTGCTAATAGAATTATAAATTTTAGTAATATTTAATCAAATAAAATTAAATGCAAAAGCATTAATTTAATAAATAAATTAATAAAAAAAATTAATATTAATTAATTTAAATTATTAATTTAAATAAATTTGACTACATAGAAATTATTTGTTTATATAATTTCATAACTTGCTAATTCAATATTAATTATAAAGTTACTTGACACACGCAATAATTTAACTAAGCTAACTAAGTTAGAAATGTGCTAAATAGACATGATAAAATGTAATATTCAAAAAGTTGAAATAAAATTTTTATTTACTAAAATAAGTAAACGGACAGTGTTTTAAGATTTAACGATCTCAGAATTTATTAAATTTGGATTTACAGAATTTACTAAACCTTACTCGCCAATAATATAATTGTGGTAAATTCTTTAGCAAATAAAAAAGGTAGTAGAACCCAAAAAAGTGCATTTCTAGCAAATTTGTAAATGACCCCCCATGAATTTACTAATCCACAAGTTCACCAATCCCGCCCTCATATAAATAATTTACTAGGCTTTTTTATTACTACGTGCATCAATTTGGTGCACTAACAAGTTGTCTCATGCACCATGCAAGAATAGGTGCAACAAAATAATTTTATACAGCTTGAAATAATAACATGAAAGATATATGATCATCATACAATTCTGTTTTCTCCAACCCTGCGAAAGTTAAAACAGATTAAAAGAACTTTTAAGAGGAATGGATAGCATTATGGGAGGGTTTATGTTGAAATACAACATTTTCATGATAATAGAGAAAAAAGTCAACCCAGGAGCCTTAAATCTCCATCAAAAACTTGCATTTCTAATTGAAAAGAGTAAAATCTAGATTTTTGCTAGGTGATCTTTAAAGCTGAAGGAACCAACAACTATCTGAGATGATATAGTGATATAGTAACCGCACCTTGAGTAATAGAGTGGTTATTCTCAAGTAAAGCCTGAGAAATGCGTAAAGAAAAAGAAAAAAAAATCAATCCAAATTACCAGTAAAAGGGCATGCATAGAAATCTGCCTTTTAGCTATAAATTCACCGCAAGAAAAAATTGACATATCAGACATACCTCCTGTAGCTCCAACAGGGAATTTAAAGTCTGCTTAGATGAAGATATCAGTTCTAAAAAACTTTCATCAGCTGTCGTATCTGAATTGCAAAAATATGACTTAACAGGTTCCTGAAATACATATTACAAAAAATTAATTAAATAACGGAAAATCTTTATACAAGTACAGGATGCTTGATGTTTATTTAGGCAAACCTGTGGAAGTTTATTGGAGGCTGAAAATGATTTCTGCAGCAAGAACCTAAACTCTAATGTCTTATCCCAAAGAGCCTTCAAAAAATATGGTAAGTTTGAAAAGCAAAGTTATGCAATGTGTTGGTTTGAAAGCAGGAAATGAAAGTTTGCTAACAGAATAACACAAACTTCAGTACCAGAAGAATCATGAAAAAAAAAAATTATCAAAACATATAAGAATATTGCAAGAAATTTGAAAATCATAATACATAATGGATTTAAGATCGCAGTAAAATAAGGTTTGTTTTGCAATGTGTTGGTTGTGTTTCTTTTAAAAAGGTTGTCATTCCACGTATATGATATGGTTGGCAAACAAAAAAAAAGAGAAAGTTAAATACCTAATGGGACTATATGTATTTCATTTATTTTAAAAACTTCATAGCTCATTTCAAATGTTTAGGAATACTATAGAACATTTGTCAAACTTCTAGATTATTTGCAACCAACACTTTTCAACTTTTAATATCTACTAATATGCTCTAATCAGTCATTCATCATATCTACAAACAGAATAAATGTTTAAGTCTATGTAATGCCTTAATTTTTTGCACTAATCCGTGATCATTGATGCACCACGATAATAGAGTTGAGCCAAGTTAGCCAAACTACTCACCACAAGTTTGGTGAAACCTCTTCTTAGTCGGCTAAAGGGATGTCCTATTCGACAATGTTTTCATAATTTGAGAATCATAGTACAGCATGGATTTAAGATCACAGTAAAATAAGGTTTGTTTGGCAATGTGTTCGTTGTGTTTCTTTTAAAAAAGTTGTCATTCCACATTTTTATGATATGGTTGGCAAACGAAAAAAATATAGTTAAATACTTAATGGGACTATATGTATTTCATTTATTTTAAAAACTTCATAGCACATTTCAAATGCTTAGGAAAACGATAGAACATTTGTCAAACTTCTACATTATTTGCAAACAACACTTTTCAACATTTAATATCTACTAATATGATCTAATCATTCATTCATCATATCTACAAATAGATTAAATGTTTAAGTCTATGTAATACCTTAATTTTTTGCACTAATCCGTGATCATTAACACACCATGATAATAAAGTTGAGCCAAGTTAGCCAAAATCCTGCTCACCACAAGTTTGGTGAAACCTCTTCTTAGTCGGATAGAGGGATGCCTATTCGACAATGTTTTCGGGCCTTGTCAGCCCGCCTTAGCACTCCGCTACACCCGCCGCCCCCCCCCCCCTCCCCCCACCGCAACATCCCGTTTTTGAGCTAAAAGATTGTGGGAACCTTGTACATTTCGTCTTGATCCTATTGGGAGACAAAAGGACAAAGTAACAAAGTCAAAATACCTTAATATTTCCTAGTGATTGTATGGATTCTCCCTCCCTCTCATACTACTAATATGCCAAAAAAAAAATCATGTGAAACTTTCGAGTCAATTTATACTCATTTTAGAAATATTTTTAAATATATCCACAACCATGACTAATTAAAAGTTCACAAGCATTTAATCAACAATACAACAGCAACAAACCCTTATCCCACTAAGTGGGAATCCTTTTTCTCCATTATGTCAAATTGAGTGTCATATTTTCATTTAATTATAATAAATTAAGATAATTTTTTATAACATATGCCCAACTCTTTTTAGGTCTACTTTGCCTTTCTTAACATAATTAGAATCTTTCGAGTCAATTTATACTCATTTTAGAAATATTTTTAAAAATATTCATAACCATGACTAATTAAGAGTTCACAAGCATTTCATCAACAATAAAACAACAACAAACCTTTATCCCACTAAGTGGGGTGGGCTATAAGAATCCATTTTCTCCATTATGTCCAATTAAGTGTCATATTTTCATTTAATTATAATAAATTAAGATTACTTTTTTATAACATATGCCCAACTCTTTTTAGGTCTACTTCTGCTTTTCTTAACATAATTAGAATATAAAACATCTACTCTCCTAACAGGATCTTCAGATAGTCGATATTTAATGTTAACAAACCATCTAAGATGAGCATTTCAACTATATAAGAATGGAAATAGACATAAGAAAAAAAATCAAAATAAGTTAGAACTAATCGAGTAAGTGACAAAAAATGAGAGAAAAGAGAATATAAAATATAAAAAAAACAAAATAATTATGCAGGTCACTACATAGGATTGCGGAAAAGAGCGAGAAAATAAAAAATAATTACACTAAATACTAGCCAAGGCATGTCAAGATCAGTACTTTTTGATTCTTTACGGCTTCACCTTTAATGACATCTTCATCCTTGTGACGCCGCAAATTCTTCAAAAGATCTCTAGATGGCAAATCATGACAAAGATTACTAAAAATAGGATAAACTTTAGAAAGAAAAAAAAACTTTTGTAAAGAATGTTAAATTGAACATTCGTAGAAAGAAGGAAATATCTACTTTGGTAAATGTAAATATGGAAAAAAATGCTATAAAAACCTTCTTATCGAGCGATATCCATAATATTACACTATAAGCACTACAATGGAAATTTTGGTTGGAGCAATTATACAAAGAAACAATTCCATATTCTAATAGTTATTTAATTTGACGTAACCCAAAGAATAATATTAGTAGTTGGTGTTTATAAAACAGAAGTGATTTAATATCTAAAGAAAAGAACAACAAGATTTTCAGGTACAAGTGTAAGCAATCAAAACACAAAACGATAAATATTTGAATAATATTTTAGACCATATGATAGTTATGAGGCATAAAACTTTAGTTGAAACAACCAAACAACGCCAAAAGAACCAACAATCTTTCATAAAAAGAAAAAACTATAAAATGAAATGTACCTTCTTAGAAAGGAAGGAAGATTTGATGTCATTCAACAAACATAGAAAAATAAAACAAAATCAAAAGTTGATCACACACATGAAAACCAAAATTAGAATCTTTCACCATCTCTTCATCTTGGAAGCGTTGCAAAACTCCTAATTTCAACTACTTCTTCTTAAAAACAAATTGAGTGCATGCAAATTAGAGCTCGAAACATAAACTAATAATTAGCATTACCAAAAGAGCCAATAATGCACGTGAACTATCTTTATATACAACTTTACCAACCATCCATATTTGATATAAACTATAATACTAACAAAATGTTTGACAGGTGCATCATCATCATCATCATCATCGCCACCCTCGGAATCAAAACATTAGGCCAAAACTAAACTATATGACTTCGACTATAAAATTCCTCCTCCAATTATTCCTGGTGATTGTTAAAATAAATAAGATAATAAAATTTGAAAGTTTTGTACACAATTTCTAATCATATTAACTTTGGTCTCACTTTGATTAGAAAATCCTTTCACATTAATTTTATCCCCTTATTTTGTTTGATGCAGCTTCTCATTGAAACAAATTAGTTACATTGTTACCAACAAAATCATCAATAATTATTACTCCCCCTGACTATAAAATTTATATTTTATTGTTCAATCCCTTCATAGTCCTACCAAACTACCATAAGGACCACATCAACTTCACACTTGTCTGGTTTCCCATTAAGAGTGACAGTTGCTTGTTAAAAACATGGTTAAGAAAACCACTTTGTTCAAATATTATGGCCAGTAACCATGATTAATGAGCTAAATAAGCATAAAATAAGTGGGTATAATAATTGCTCCCTTACATGTAATAAAAGTAGAAAAATGCATCATCTATTTATTGCAAATTCAGCAATCAAATGGTAACTGAATGAGGTAGAAAAATATTTATTAAAAAATATCTGACATTAAATTCGTGCAAATAGTAATGGTCACCAGTTTGCACCCACATTACCTCGTGTTCTATAATGGAATTCATTAAGCAAGCATTAAGCACTCAATTGTTCTATCATCTGGAATAAGACCCTTATTAACAACATGAAATGTTCAATAGTAACCTATAAAAAATAATATTTTTGTACTAAGAGCAATAATCAATAATGAAAAGAACATCATATCAAAAACAGATACTAATCATTGAATGAACAAAGAACACTTGATCAGTTTCAAATAATTTCTTTCATTGTGCAAATAAAACTATATAATAGATATAGTAATTGCTTTACAAAGATTAAGTCTTACTGTTCCTTGCTGCGCAGAGCTTGATACTCTATCTCGAGCACTTCCATTTCTGCATCCCTTTGCACAGCACTTCTTTCATTGTCTTCTCCTTCCTCCTATACCATGATAAAAAGTGAAATGCCAAGCTGCGAAAAGAAAAAATTAAAACAAGGATGAAAACACTGCAAACATACCACATTGTTCTCTTCATCGTCCTCAGCTTCGGAGTCCATTCCACTATCGTCTTTTTCATCTTGCTCGGACTGATCCAAAGTTAGCTCCATCTCCATCTCTGAATCTTTATCAGATCCAATTTCATTTTCACTGTATTCATCTGATTCTAAACTACTTATACTCGCTTCATCACTTCTCTTAGAACACTTAGAACGCCTGGAAGTGGATCCCATCTTGCCAATGAAGCTGAGGAACAAAATATCAACTTAATTGTTTGGTTTAATGTCATGTGGATAGTAATGTTATTTAAATGATAATATCATTTAAACAACAGTTTAATTTATCAAATCCAATTCTTTGGCGTAAAATTGCCTTATTTAAACTGTTTGAAGTTATCTAAATGATCAATGGTGATTATGATTTTTCCAGTTTTTTATCTTAATCAGCCAAACAGCTAACATCAGCTATAATTACAGGTGTTAACCAGCCAAAATATCCAAACATTACTAGCATAAAAATTTATAAGCAATGCATCTAAATAACAAGTATAATTCAGATACCGGTTGGTAGCAGGATTTAACATAAATCCTGCAGAACAGCAACAATTACAACTTCAGGATCTTTAATCCCGTTTCTCCTCCGTTTTGCCTAAAATCACGATTTAATTAAATACAGTTGGAAGATGGACTTATGAAATTTAGAAGAGCTGAAGGCGCGAATGGGGGTGGAAGGATGGGGGAGAAAGACAACGGTTACCTTCCTCAATGGTTTCGGGAAGAAGCGGAGCAGAAGGACGAGAAAAAGGTGAGTTTGGGAGGTCTTCCCTGTCACGACTGTATCGCAATGGTTCCAGCCGCCAGAGGGGAGAGGGGAGGCTAGGGTTTCGGGTTGCGGGTACGAGAGATTTTTTTATTTGTTAATTTCAATTAGTTTAATTAAAACATAGTTAATAATTAAGCAAATCACAAATAATCTATATATAGCATAAATTATAAATTAAATTTTAATTAGTTTAATAAAAATTTAATTAAATATTAAGAAATTTAATAAATAACCAATCAATTATTGAATGTTAAATTATTGCTTAATGAATATTTAGTTAAATCAATTTTTATTAACTATTATTTAATCCACTAACAAGTTAATTATTCGATTATTAATTAATTATAATAAATATAATAGAATTAAAAAAATTGTACTTGATTAAAATAATTTTGAGGATAATAAATCAATAAAAAATTATCCCTATATTTTTTATAAATTTATGTGCATTTTATTATGATAAATTATGATAAATGCACATAAATTTATAAAAAATATAGGGATAATTTTTTATTGATTTATTATCCTCAAAATTATTTTAATCAAGTACAATTAAATTATGATAAATTTATGTGCATTTTATTATGATAAATTATGATAAATGCACATAAATTTATAAAAAATATAGGGATAATTTTTTATTGATTTATTATCCTCAAAATTATTTTAATCAAGTACAATTTTTTTAATTCTATTATATTTATTATAATTAATTAATAATCGAATAATTAACTTGTTAGTGGATTAAATAATAGTTAATAAAAATTGATTTAACTAAATATTCATTAAGCAATAATTTAACATTCAATAATTGATTGGTTATTTATTAAATTTCTTAATATTTAATTAATTTTTTATTAAACTAATTAAAATTTAATTTATAATTTATGCTATATATAGATTATTTGTGATTTGCTTAATTATTAACTATGTTTTAATTAAACTAATTGAAATTAACAAATAAAAAAATCTCTCGTACCCGCAACCCGAAACCCTAGCCTCCCCTCTCCCCTCTGGCGGCTGGAACCATTGCGATACAGTCGTGACAGGGAAGACCTCCCAAACTCACCTTTTTCTCGTCCTTCTGCTCCGCTTCTTCCCGAAACCATTGAGGAAGGTAACCGTTGTCTTTCTCCCCCATCCTTCCACCCCCATTCGCGCCTTCAGCTCTTCTAAATTTCATAAGTCCATCTTCCAACTGTATTTAATTAAATCGTGATTTTAGGCAAAACGGAGGAGAAACGGGATTAAAGATCCTGAAGTTGTAATTGTTGCTGTTCTGCAGGATTTATGTTAAATCCTGCTACCAACCGGTATCTGAATTATACTTGTTATTTAGATGCATTGCTTATAAATTTTTATGCTAGTAATGTTTGGATATTTTGGCTGGTTAACACCTGTAATTATAGCTGATGTTAGCTGTTTGGCTGATTAAGATAAAAAACTGGAAAAATCATAATCACCATTGATCATTTAGATAACTTCAAACAGTTTAAATAAGGCAATTTAATTGATAAACCTAATTCAATTGAATGGAGTAAATTGGTAAAAGATGAATTAGGTTTGTGAATTACATTTTTCAATGATAGTTTTGATTCTTTTTATTTTTTTTTTCCTAGAAGGGTTGTAAGGGCGTCAGACCAGTTAGTGAGCCTGTTTGAGCTCGACCCCATTAGTGGCTCGTGAACCAAGCTCTATAAGCAAAGACCCGAAGCTCAAGCTATCCTGACAACCCGTTAGCTCATCAATTGTCTCATTTAAAAAATAATAAGATAAATATATTTAAAATAAATTAAATTTTAAAAATTAAATATTAAAATATTAAAATATTTTTAAAATAATATTTTATTTTTTATGATAACCCATTTAATTTTTTTTAATTAATCATCTTATTTATCATTTTCTTATAACGTTATATTAAATTAACATTATTTATATTTTTAAAATAAATAATTATTCATCTTATTCTATATCATTTTCTTATAAAGTTATATTAAATCAACATTATTCTATATCTTCTAAATAAATAAATTAGCTCATGATACACGAAAAACTAAAATATATAAAATTTAGTCCGAGCCTAAACTCTAATTAGATAATTAGCCCATTTAAAGTTAATAAATGTAACGCAAAGTCACCATGTCCAAAGAACTCGTTGCGGCGTTAAAAGCCAGGCTCTGGAAAACCCTAGCAGCCCGGATCTCGTCCCGCGTCGTTTCGTTCGCCGCTTAATCACTCCATCTCTTCGTCTCAGCCCCAAAGGTATGCCCAATAATTTCTTTCCTTTTTTTCTTCTCCAATTATCTTCTTCTGGGTCTTTTTACCATGCCCTTATTCCCGATTTTGTTATTGTCTGCTTTTCTTCCTCTTTTTCAGTGATCGAAACCCTTGTTCCCGTCCTTTTTTTTACGGCACCCTCTTAACCCTAAATTTCGCCATGCTGTTTTCTGCCTCCTCGTGTTTATCAGTTCATCTTCATGTTATTTGTCACAGAACCTCTCTGTTGCTCTCAACGTCTTCTTTTTAATTTTTCTTTAGCCATTTATACTTGCATGTTTGCTTACACTCGTATGAAATTTTAGATGTGTATGGCTTGGCTTTTATTTTTTTCTTATTTTTTGTGCTTATTTCTTGTAAATCCATTTAGATGTTGTAATTTCGTGAAACTGAAATTATTACCTTCGTTTTTAATTTTTTAGTTGCATCCGTTTATTCCTTTCTTATCTTTGTAAACTGTAACCCCGTCGATGTATATATATATTTTTTACTTTTCTTCCATGCACAATATCACTAGATGTATTTGTCAGTATACTCTTTGTTATTGGGACTCTGTTCGGCACTTCATATATATTTATAGTTGTCGCTTACTAGAAATTCTCAACTATAGAAGTGTTGGAAACATCCATATCTTTTTTATATGGACAGCCATTGCTAGTGAAAATATCACGCGGTACAGCTTGGTCAAAATAGTTAACTATGTAATCAGGAGATGAGATTATAAGGTTATGCTGAAATCATAAATGCTTTAAAATAACCCAATAAATAAAACTATATGCTGGTAGTTGAGACTACAAAAATTGTAGTTGCACAACAATAATCATAGCGAGACTATAACATTTGTAGTTGGTTAAAAAAAAAAAGTCAAAGCTGGAGGGTTTGAAAACCGTAGTAACGCCACAAAAGCTGTTGTTGGGCTACATTAGCCGTATTTTGGCTATCACAACTGTAGTAGGGCTACAGAAGCCATTGGTGGTGGTCGATGATTGCTACAACTTGCTTGATCTGCACTTCTCTTCATGGTGCACTTTAGTTGTTAGCTTACTCTTATTTTCTCTTCCCCCTTCAAAGAAAGAATGTGCGCCTATTTATAATTTTTAAGAAAGATGATTTGATAAATCTAGTAATAATTTTGTAGCACTTTATTGGACAGTCTACATTGATTCTTTTGATCACATGTATCTTTTTCAACATTTAAGTGCCTAGACGACCTCAAAATACAAATGTTGGTTTGCTTTCATCAAGTCGTTCAATTTAACGTGTAACCTATTCAAGAAGATCTAAACTTCTCCAAGCCATAAGTGCCTCTAAGATTCCATAATTAAATCATTCGTCTCAAAATGATCCTCCTAGAAATGAGAGTTGGTGCATGAAAATGAAGACCTTATTAGTAATGTTCATCAAATATGTTCCAAAGGAAATGAACTGTTTCAAAATTATTCACAACAATACACTCCCCAAAACCACAATTAGACACTCCCAATAAGATCATGAAATTACCTCCTACAAAATAATCTACCCTAAGGCAGCACCAGAAATTAACCAAATCAATTGGAGCATGCCATGGCCAATAGGGTCAAACCAAGTGCAGCATCATTTGATCATAATTTAATTATGTGAGTACTATCACTAGCTGACAATTATAAAAGTCTAATAAAATAAATATCACTCATGAAGTAAATGGCTCTTTTAAAAAAATTATTTGGGAGATTAAAACAAACACAAAAATTCCTCATTCAACATCAATAAATAAAGCACTTGAGTATTGATATGTCCTCTAGATTCTAACACACTATTAAATGGCATCCACAATCATCCAATCATTATGATAGAGCCATATCCTATGCAAGTCATGCCATCATAATGGTTTTTATAGCATTTCCTTGCATTGATAAAACTAGCCACCAATCATGATAGTCCTATCACCATGATAATCTTGTGATGGCTTTAACAGCATCCAATCACCTCTATAAACTATATAATGCCTTTCTAACACCCACAAATGTACTACCACTATGATTGTTAACTAAGATATGCCACATATAAATGCTTCAAGAGCATTGCCCATCATATGAAGATAAAGTGAAGTTTAACACTACATCAAGCAATACGAAGTAATTTGTGCCAAAGCCACAAAAGGCACTGCCATTCACATGCTTCTATTGTTCTTACAATCAACACATATGAGAGCTAACATTAGAGCCCTCCGTATCAGATTTTACACTCATACCCAAAAAATATTAAATATTAAACCCCCTTTAGCTCTCTGGAGGATAATCATGTTTGCATTATTCTTTTACAAAATAATAAAATTGTTTAATTTGGTTAGACCTCTGTTTGTTTCCCCCTCTCTAGGGGTCTTTCATGAAAAAATAATTGATTCTTATACTATATGTGCATAGCCCTAACGCTCACCCATTGAGAAATTTTTCATTTTTCATCATTATTTTGTCATGTTTCTGCAGTGTTATTAAAGCAAAACCATACTAGTTGTGCTTCAA